ACGCTCCACTCCAGGGAAGGGCGTGGGAATTTTTTACAGCCTAGGGTCAGGTCACATGATCCCAATGCTTGCAAAGGCCTCTGGGAACTAACCACTGGACTCTGAAGGAGATCAGACAACTTGCCTTTAGCCTCTCCCCACCCCCACCCCGGGCCTGTGAGGGAAGCTGAGGCTTTTCTGTGCCTCTCCAGGGACTGGGAGGACACAGTTCTGCAGCCCCAGAGTGACCTCTCCCCCTTCCATCTGGGGGTGGGCAGGTTTCCCAGCAGCCTCTGAGCCTCAGATGTGACAAATGGAGTAGCACTGACACCGAAGCTCCCAAGCCCAGCAGTTTGAAGACTAAACTGTATTGATTGAGAATTTAATTGCTCCATAAAGGCTGAGTAAACACTGGCTGTCCATTGATCATACCTCAAGCCAGCTGGGGAGAGAAGGCTCCTGGACACACAGGACAGCCAGCCATTCCTAGAAGGGTGTCCCTTCCTCAGGGGCCCGCAGCCTCTGCCGCACACACTCTGCAGGCTGGTTAGCAGGTGACAGCCAAGGGGTGGTGGCTCCAGGAGGTGTGGTCAGGGAAAGAGGCTCTCTCAAGGCATGCAGTGGGAAATGCAGGCTACAAAGCCTTGTTTTTCTAATGGGGGGAAATGTGAAACCCAATGCATAAAAAAGTAAAGCCCCAGAAGGTTGCACACAAATATACTGACAGTGGTTCACTCTATATGACTGGATTTAATTTTTATCCTTTATATTCCTGTGTTTTCCACATTTCCAACAACTAGCAAGTGTAACGTATAATCAGAGAAAATAAATGTTATTTAAGATTAAATGAAATGTCTCCAAGAATTTCTCCTATGCTATTACCTATAAAAAATCCTAGCAACAGCTCCGTGGAAAGAGGTTGCTTCTGCAGCTGGACCTGGGCTCACCTCCCAGCTCCAGAGTGACTCGCAGAGGTCCCTCAACACCAAACTTCTCTCCATCCAGATTCCTATCTGTAAATGGGAGTAGCAGCCACCTCACAGAATTAAGTGAGAGAAAATACTGAGAGTGCAACATCCCTGGCATGTTCAAAAAATAGTGTGTTCAGTACATGTTAGTGTCTCCGCCATGCCGGAGTAGGGCCTACTGCGGGTGGGTCAGTTCCGTTTGCTAGGGCCCAGGGTGCCCCCCATCCCTGACCCTATTCCCTCCTCTTCCCCAGGGCTTGGTGTCATTCTGTGTCCTCCCTAGCACCTCCTCTTTCTGACCCCCCAGCCTCCTGTCATTACCCTAATAGAAGCCAATCTTCCTCATCTTGCCCCATTGCCACCCACGGAAACAAGTGGGTTAGATGCTGGGAGGCAGCTGGCCAGCTTCAGGGTCATTGTTCCGAATGTCACCGAGAGCCTGAGAGGGAGGGGAGCTGTGGGATAGAAAGTAGGGCTGCAATTACTAGCCTATTCAGCTCCCCAGAATAAAGCCCTGCCGTCAGCTAGCAGCGAGGAGGAGGGGGAGGGGAGGAAAGAGCCTGGCACGACTTGCTGCCCCCTGGCTGGCTCCAGGCCCACTCCCCCAGTTCTCACCTGAGGGCCTTCTACCCTGGTAAGCACAGGCAGTTTGCCTAGGGGTGTGTGAACCTAAGCACAATGGAGCCCATGATAACTCTGCCAGCCCATAACTGTTCCACTGGACCCCAGTCCCTGACGCTTACCACTGAGCCTCCCTCTCACAGACTCGCAGCTTCCAGACTTGCTCAACTTCGGGTCTTCCCACTTCTGGGACATCACTTCCTGGCAGGGTCCAGGTCCCAAGATAGATTTCTCTTGGCCCCATCCCCCAAAGGCTGTTCTGCTGGGGAAGGCAGCTAGCACACACAAACGAGGCTAGAGCTCCCTACTCCCTGGGAAGGGCTGAGGTCTCTGGCCTGGGCCTCTCCCCGGGGCCCAGGGTTTGCCTCAGGCTGCAGCAGTAGCAGCTCCTGCCCACCTGACCAGCTGCCACTACACCCCCAGGGGATGAGCCCAGTGGCAAAAGGAAAGGGGCTCTTGCTAAGCCCCACTGCTTGGGGTGGGGCAGGGAGGGGACACACCCCTCAAACTTGTGCTGACCTTGGTCACCACTGGCTTCAGGGTACAGAGGAAGAAGGTGAGAGGGCCTCTGTGGATCACATAAGAAGGACTCCAAAGACCCTGAGATCTGATGACCGGCTGGATTCCTTACTGGAGTCTCCTGCAGGACTCAACTGGCTTATTCCTACAAATGCTCAGAGGAGGCTGGTTCAGCGGGAGGCTGGCCGAGCTGGTGGGAAAGCAGACTGGCCGGCGGGGAGCAGCCTGGCTTGCCTTAGGGCTCTATGACCCACCCGCCCTGGGCTGGCCCCGCCTGCTTTCTGACCTCGACTTTCCTGTAGAGAAACTCACGGGCGAGGTTCAAGCTACATCGGAGGTGGGACACCTGCTAAGGGCAGGGGTTAAGGGCTGTGAAGGAGTCATGGAGAGGGTGGGAGCAGGGATGCTGGGAGTCTGATGGGAGAATATTTATCTCAGGAGGGAATTCCTGCAAGAATCCAAGAACAGACAGACCGACTGACACACACACTGTCAGAAAACATCTAGACAGCCTCCTCCCCAAGAGGCCGAGACACTGCCATCAGAGAGACAGACAGACAGTGATACAGACAGAAACACACTCTAGAGACTACAAACCCAACAGACAGGAATAACTGGGAACAGAGACAGACAACAGCTGGACCAACATGGGGGCCAGTCTCCCTGCCCCACCCAGGGCGGGGCGGCAGCAGGCAGCTCTTCCAGGAGCCAAAGGTCCAGAAAACCTTCCGCCTTCCGCCCCCCTCCCTAGAGCACCTCTGCCCCAAACTTGGGGCCTGCCCTTCAAGGGAACTGAGAGACTAGGTTTCCTACCATCCCACCCCTAGTCTTGGAAAAGAACCCTATTCCCTTGGAGCCCAGGCTCCATGAGGGGCAGCACCCCTCCCTGCCCCCACGTATACCGGCCTCTCTCCCACCCCTCCCCCAGGAGCCAGGCTGCAGGCGGGCCAGCCAGGCAGAGGAGCACCAGCACAGGGAAGCGTGGGAGGGGAGAATGTGACACAGAGCAAGGACCGAGGAAAACCCGAGGGACAATGTCTGCTGCTGGGGCCCCCAGGACTGGCTGCGGGAGGGTCTGATGTTACCCGCCCATGCCTGGCGCTGGGGCAGCAGCAATTAACCGTCCACTGAACTGACTGTCCTCCTGCCAGGGAGGACATTTTTAGGAAGAAGACCGGCCATGTGTCTGAACAGTGACAGCTCAGGGGAGGGGCCAGGGCCCTACCTCTTTCCTCCCAGACCACCTGGCACCACCCCACTCTCTGACCTCTCTCCTCCCTCCCACTTTCTCACGCTCCCATTTCTCTCCTTCCTTCCAGTTTCCAGTGAGCCATTTTCAGCGTGGAGGCATCGTGATGCCCCACGATGTGGGGAGCTCCTCAAGGATCCAAGTGGCCTCACCTGTCCTTACGTCCCGGCACGGAACTTGGCACAGAGACCACCCAGGGCATCGCACAGAGCCTGGTCCTTCCCTTTGCCTTCCCTCCTCCAACCTGGTTGCCGCAGGGAACAACCATGCCTCCCGCCGCCCTGGCTGGAAGGATCTGCATGTGTCATTGTGGCCCAACGGCCACAGGTCCCTCCTCAGGGTCCTGCCCAACCTCCTTGGACTCCCCTTGAAGGGAAATGAGTAGTGACGCCTTTCAGAGAGTCGTTTTCTGTCCTCAAGTTCAAAAGCCATCATTTCGGATTATTATCTAGCTATTTCCCAAGGAAGAAAGGGAACGCGTGGAGTTACTAAATCTGAAACCTGCAAGTGGCGAGCAGGGAGTGGAGCGGCCTGGGCGTGCACCTGGGTGGCCCCTGGTGCTCACTGGCTGTGTGACAGTGGGCAAGCCCCTGAGTGCCGCACACCTCACTCAGCGCTCACTTCAGACCGGATCACAACACCTGCCGGGGCTTGTTTTCCTAAGCAGGTGAGAGGCTCAGTGAGGTTACTTGTAGATGCTATTTCCTAGATAGCCCAACCCCTTCCTCCTACAGGTAAGGACAGAGGCCCAGGGGAGTGAAAGAATTTGCCCAAATTCATTCCAACAACAGGAGACTGTAGACGGGGCGAATTTTTGTCCAGAATGGAAAGGTCATGATTCCGAGTGAAGTCAAGAATGAGAGAAGTGTGCAGAACTGTGAGATGGAGAAACTGGTGCAAAAGAGAAGAAAGCTATGTACTAAGGGGCAGGGGCAGACAGCAGACAGGTCAGGGTGAGAGGGAGCAGAAGCTGATGTGGGAGGGGACGGGGAGTGGAGGAGCAGAAGGGCGGCCAGGTGGATGAAGGTGCGAGCAGAGAGGAGGAAGCAGGATGGAGAGCGGACATGGAAGGAGACAGGAAGAAAGAGGGCAGAGGGATAACCCAAAACAAGACGCAGGGCAAAGCCTGGGCCAGTGACACCAAGCCTTGACCTGCAATATTCCCTTCCTTCCCAGGTTGTCAGCTAACTCAGCGAAGGCTGAAACATCCCAGAAATGAAAGTCAGTCACCTTGGCTCATTTATGGAAGGAGAAAGATTCAGAAGAAAAATGTAAAAATTTGATATAAGAGGAAAGACGGGCATTCTCATTGGTTGAGCAACCACTGAGGGCCAGGCAGCCCATTGTGTTCGGTATATCCCGTCACATCCATTTCCCTTGATGTTTGAAAGTGTATTTTATATCGGTCGTTTTGAGGGGAGGGTGTAGGATTGGGATTTGAACAAAAGGGCCTAATGACCTCAAAAGTTGGGAATGGCTCATCTGGGGCCCAGAGGAGGCAAAGAGAAATGGCAGTATAAGGATGGAGGTACAAACAGGCAACAAACAAACAGAAGCACAAGACTCCAGAGGAAGAGGCCAGATGGTGCAGTGGTGCGTGCTTTGCACCGAGGGGAAGGGCGGTGGGGGTGGGGAGGGGAGAACCATCCACCAGTGAGTCCCACCTTTGGGAGGCCAGGTCAGCACAGGAGGGCTTCTGCTCGGCATCGGCGGCAGGGCAGCAGAACTGATGCAGCACAGTCTCATTCCTGGGGGCAGAGCAGAGGAAGACGGTCAGAGCTTGGCGGGACAGGCTGGGCCCTGCTCGGCTCCCTGACATCCCTGAAACCTTACGCCTGAGTCACTGAGGTCGCCAACACAGCTCCAGGGAAGGAGGTGCAGCGTGCATTCTCCGTCATCGAGGCCTCCTCAGCCACCCATTCGGCCCAGTTCCAACACCACCTCCTGCTTGCCGTCCCCCTGACCTGTCAACAGAACTCTTCCTCCTTCTGCACCTCATCCCCTCAGTAGGCTCCTCCAGAGCCATTTATTCCCTGTGTCTTTTATCACTATCACAGTTCTTTATAACCCTGTTCCCCACTGAGGTCCCGCAAGGCGGAACTAGGTCTGTCCACCTGAGATGCACAGAATGGCAGGCAGTCAACGTTTTAAAGCTGATCACATGCAAAGGTACAAAGCACTCCCACAGAGACGTCAGTGTTGCCAGCTGAAAAGCCAAGGTTGCGCTTGATGGATTTGTTTGACGCGGACGAAAGAGCCGATCCAGGAAGCAGAGATCCGGATGCCAGGGCCAGCTGGCCAGCTGTGTGGTACCCAGTTCACCTCTTCCGGGTCTCGGTTTATTCACAGATGAAATGAGGGAGTTGAACTTGAGAAGTGGTTCTCAACCCCATCTGCTTATTAGAATCACCAGGAGATCTGAAAATCTGCCCCTGCCTCCGCCCTGCCCACAAGGGCTGATTCACTTAGTCTGGCCTGGCTCGGGGGCACCGGGACTTTTTATAAGCTCTTAGGTGATTCTAAAGGCATTGAGAGCAATTAGACTACATAATTTCCAAGGTCCCTTCCACCTCTAAAATGCTGCGATTCTAATATCCACTTGGAGCCAACTTGGGATTTAGTATTGAAATTACTTTTTCATAAGTAATGCTGCCCATGGCCTTCTCTCTCTTAGCAAGCAGTCTGTGCTGGGCTTATGGAGGCAGAGTACAGACCTGTCAGACCTGGCAGGGCCCCCCGAGATCACCTGAAAGGGATTTTTTAACTTCTTTAGCTTCAGAACACTTTTTCCAAACCCGGTCTTTACTGGCAGCTGCTGAATTTGGCTATCGTCATGGGGGGAAAAAATTACATTGAAGCCTACCTTAATTTGACAAAAATAAATTCCAGAGAGATTGCATGTTTAAATGAGAAAAATAAAACAAGAGGAAATAAAGAAGGAAACTTAGGAATATAGCCTATGGGTTAAGGAGACTTCCAACAAAACAGGAAACTGAAAAGCCAGTAAGAAAAAGGCAAACATATCACTACACAAAAGGAAAACATCTAGTATGAAAAAAAGATACCCTATTAAATCAAAAGACAAATGACAAAATGGGAAAATATATTTGCAATACATATGACAGAAGGCATGTTAATATCCCACTTTGAACTCCCACAAATTCAGAGTGTAAAGACAAGCCCAGTACAAAAATGGGCAAAGGACAGGAATCCTAGCTGACACAAGAAGAAATCAAAGAGCCGACAAATACATGGAAAGATGCTCCCCCTATAGTAAGCAGGCAAGTGAAAATCAAAGCAACCATCCAGCCTAGCAAACATTAAAAAGACTAGTAAGTACAAGTGTGGGTGAGGATGTGGGACGAGAGGTGCCCTCCTGGTCCATTATCTGTGCAGATGTGAATTTTTACAGCTGTGTTTGGAAATTAAAAAGAACACACGTTGCCCTGGCCAATTTGGCTCAGCAGTTAGAGCCTCAGCCTGTGGACCAAAGAGTCATGGGTTCGATTCCAGCCAAGGGCACGTACCTCGGTTGCAAGCCGTCCCCGGCCCGTGGGGTCATGCAGGAGGCAGCCACTCGATGTGTCCCTTTCATGTCCATGTTTCTCTCTTTCTTTCTTTCTGTTCCTCTCTCTCCCTCCCACTCTATCTGAACAAAAATGGAAAAATGTCCTCTGAGGATAAAAAACAAACAAACAAACAAAAACACAGGTCTTCTCACTCAGCAATCCTACCTCTGGAATTTTATACCCTAGATATGCAAGTACCTGTTCATAAGGGCATTTGTACAAAATGTGTGGCAGTCTTATTTCTACTGGGGAAAAACAAAACAAAACAGCCAGAAATAACCTGAGTCCTAATTGATCAGGGAATAGTTGAGTAAACTGTGATAGCTTCATCTATACCATAGAACTATGTGTTATATCTCTACATGGGTTACACGCTGTATCTCCACATGAAACTGTGTGTTATATCTCTACGTGGGCTACACGCTGTATCTCCACGTGGAACTATGTGCTATAGCTCCTGGCTTGCTTTGATTTCCACAATATATAGCTAAATGAGAAATGTATATAGTTTTGTAAAATAAATATTAACTCCTTTCCCCAAAGGCAAATTCTATGCATTGTACTCTATTCATATATAAGTGCATACATAACTAAGCTACTAACATTGGATACCTCAGCAAGATTAGAATAGGGAAAAGGGGGAGTAAGTAAAAAAAGGGAAAGGAAAAAATGTTGTAATGTTAACTGAAAATGTTAAATATCAATTCTTGCTATTACTGTATTTACAATACATTAAAATTGAATGTGTATGGACAAGAACTCGAAAGTGTCAGGAACCAACATAAATATTAATGTCATTTCGGGATGGATCATGGGCAGTTTTTATGTTGGACTTTTATTCATTTAATGGATTATTAATTATAGATTATGTATAATCTATAGATTATAGATTAATATTTAATGCAACTAATATAGCTTTTTAAAAGAGCAATAAGGCAAATAATTGAATCTGACCCCTCATTTTACAGTTGAGAAGGCGGAGGCCTAAAACTAAGGAAGTGTTTTGTTTAGAGTTGTTCCCTGACTAAAGTCCAGTCTTCTGGTTACCCCAGTGTCCCCACCCAGCCCTGGTGTTTTGGGGCAAATCAGAGCCATTAGAGAATTGTCTTGTGACACGCCCAAGGGCTGCCTGGCATGAGCAGAAAGGGAAGAGGAAGAAGGAGACACGGCAGATTGGCTCAGAGCCCAAACAATGGAAGGGCAGGGAGACCCGAGTCTGTCAACAAAGCAGAGAACCTAGCCCTCCAGCCCAGTTCCTACCACCAAGTGCACCTGTGCCCCAGCGCAGGTCCAGAAGTCTGGCACAGCCGGTGAGAGCCCAGGCAAAGAGGCGCAGCCTGCTCACCACCCACGCCACTCACAGTCCAGGAAAGATAGTGCCCGACACAGTCACAGGCTGCGGGAGCCTGCCGCTTCCCAGGGGATCCTCCCAGGGCTGGGAGCTGCTCCTCGGACCAGCCGCCGAGCCGGACTCCATGGCTTTCCCAACTCAGCTGCGCTGGCCCACGCGGAGAGTGACATAAGCCTGGTGTCCCCAAGTACTTCCACGCCTGAGGCTTGGGATGGCAGTGCTACTGGGTTGTACTCTCTCTGGGGGTTCCTGCTGATGGGGTCCCTCAGTATAGCCCAGCTGCGAGGGGAAGCTTGCCTTCAGCCCTTCTCCAGTTTCTCGTCTATCTACCTCCTGCCCCGTGGGCCTCCTAAGCTGGAGCCAGGGGCTCCCCATCAGAACCTCCCTTCTTGCCTTCTCTTGGGGTTCATTTCATGATTAATTATAAGTCCTGTCCTGCCTGCCTCTGACCAGTCTGGCCACCTCTCCGGCTCAAGGTCATGGTCCAAATGCCCTGACCTGGGCAAGTCTTAGCTTAAGTTAGCTGAATGTTGCTTTCAGCCTCCCAGACTTCGTAAACCCTCCACCCCAAAGGAGAATTCTAACAAAGGGACCCAAAGAATTAATTACCGTTAAAAATAAAATTGGAGCCCTGGCCGGTTTGGTTCAGTGGTTAGAGCACCGGCCTGCAAACCAAAGGATCTTGGGATCGATTCCAGTTAAAAGCATAAATCTGGGTTGCAGGTTCGATCCTCGTCCCTGGTCAGGGTCGTGCAAGAGGCAGCCAATTGATGTGTCTCTCTCATATAGATGTTTCTCTCTCTCTCTCCTCCCTCCCTTCCACTCTATCTAAAATATCAATGGAAAAATATCCTTGAGTGATGATTAACAAAACAACAAAAACAATAAAATTGGACCCTTGGCTAGTGTGGCTCAGTGGTTGGAGCATCATCCCATGCACTGAAAGATTGCTGGTTGGATTCTAGGTCAGGGCACATACCTAGGTTGCGGGTTCCATCCCTGGTGGGGGAATGTATGGGAGGTACCCATTGATGTTTCTCTCTTTCTCTCTCTCTTCCCTTCTCTCCAAAATCAGTAAAACATATCCTCAGGTGAGAATTTAAAAAAATAATAAAGATAAAATAAATAAAGTTGGAGATGTGATGAGAAGAGCAACTTAACTCTATGATATTCTTTCCCAAAGCCTATAAGCCCAGTCTAACCGTGAGAAAAACATCAGACCAACCCAAATTGAGGACATCCTACAAAATATCTGACCAGTACTCCTCAAAACTGTTAAGGTCGTGAAAACCGAAAAGAGCTACAAACTGTCACAGCCCAGAGAAAAATAAGGAGACATGACAACTGTCATGTGGGAATCCTGGAACAGGGAGAGGTTATTAGTGGAAAACTAATAAATACGAATCAAGTCTAGAGTTTGTAAGTAGATAGATAGATAGATAGATGATAAAGTTGAGGTAGCAAAATGCTAATAATTGTATTTTAGCACTTTATAGTGTTTATCACATGGCATATAGTATTCTATTTTTTTTTTTTATCCTCACCCGAGGACATTTTTCCATTTTTTGTACAGATAGAGTGGGAGGGAGAGAGAGGAAGAGATAGAGAGAGAGAGAAACATCGACGTGAAAGGGACACATCGAGTGGCTGCCACCCGCACGACCAACCAGGGCCGGGGACAAACTGCAACCGAGGTACGTGCCCTTAGCGGGAACCGAACCCGGGTCTCTCCGGACCGCAGGCCGACGCTCTAACCACTGAGCCAAACCGGCCAGGGCGGCACATAGTATTCTAAACACTTTCCGTGTATTAACTTGTTCATTCTCAC